GTGCCGGATCTCTTTGAAAGAGCTGAAGCCTGTGTAATCAAAAGCAAAGCCTTTTGTCTCTTTAACACACATACCAAAGAAGCTGCCGAAGAGGCAGATATTTTACATGAACGCTCTCAGTATCCATGTACCATTGCACTTTGAACCTTGTGCACTGTGCGGGGCTCGAGTTTAGCAACTGAATCACTCAAGGTGAAAAATGTGTATTTATGTATCTATTCATAGTTTTCATCACAGGAATTTTAGGAATGCTAAAAGTACGCCTTTCTCCCACTGTCCGCCGGCTATTTTTACTGGGTTTGTTTAGCCAAAATGGTGGATGGCTGTTAAATTTGATGGGGCCAAATGGCGTAATCCCTCCTTCTCCATGACAACCCATGTTATCAATGGCGAGTCATTAAACTCGTACTGAAAATAAGTGATGATTAGAAGATATATGTTATTGTTTTAGCGTTGTCTCTACTGCCCCACAACACTGACTACAGTACAATTACCCTGAAACTATAATTACTGGATCATTGCTACGGCACTTTGGAATTTCTTGCCCTTCAATTCCCAAATGATAGTATTATTGACCAATCACATCTCAAATAAAAGCAAGCATCTGCATTTTTGTTCACATTCAGCCTGTAAGCAAAGGGATTCCCCCACAAAAGACTTACTCAAAATAATTTAAGTAACTAAGACAGACATTTTCCATCTTCATGCATCATTGCAATAATCTCCATCTGGACCAACACAAAACATAAAACCACTGCAGCTCCATCTAATGCCTGAATGTGATCGGGTGTGAAAAAATCTTAAGTGCAACATTGCCCTTCCTCCCATACCGCTGTGAAAACGCAGGCGCTTTAGAAAGAACGAGCTGAATATTATCACCATCGCCTCCGTGTCACGCACTCGCAGAAGTTCTTTATATATTTAAAAAAATAATGTTTCTGTGTTAGTACACATTAGTACAATATAACTCCACTTTCACCGTGAGCTATCTGTCGCACACAAGTATCTGTTGACATGCTCCTTAACATGGATATTATGTTGGGGAGCCTTTTTAGCCAACTCCAAATTATTCTGCCAGTCCCTTTCCTGTGGTGGGTCAGGGCTGTCTGAAGCCATTATTGGTAATGAATGTGGAGTCCTACTTTAAAAGGTTCAGGCATGTAAAGTCACCTAAAGCTGACTAATGGAATCCTGCTGACACTGAATGCCAGGGGCTTTTACCACCAACCCAGAATGGTGGTTTTGGAAATTTACACCACAGACATAATGAACTATAAATGTAAACCTTGGAATGTAGCCTCCCACGCAGTAGCTTTGAGATATTAATAGATACAGACATGCAATATGCTGGAAAATCATAAATTGTAGCTCCATTGTGTGCTTTCGGCATAAATTCTGCTACTTGTGGCTTATTTACAGCGAAATGTAAACACGTCTTTGCACTTCTGAGGCTTAAGGAGAATTATTAAAGAAGCGCCTGTGAAAATATGTGCAGAGCGTTTATTAGAGCCTGAAAATATTCAGAGTTTGTTAGTGCTGCAACACTTTGTGCCCTGGGAGATGGGCCTCTTCAGCGGGTTCACAGGTCGCGCAGAAGCGTGCAGAGTGGCCATTGTGCTTTGTCATTTCACAGGTGACTCACATCACTACACTCGAGCATGCTGGAGGTAGAGCACTCGGAGATGCTTGCGGCATTCAAAATGCATGATTTTCAGCCTAGTGCAAACAAATCGCTTTAAAAGATCAGTTTAATCTATTTCGAGCTGTTATTATGAGCTGGGAGAGTTGTTCAGATAAAGAGACTGAAGCAGGGTTAACATCAGTGTGTTGGACAACTCTTCACATACTTTACCCAGCGTGAGAGCTGTCAACTTTATTATTTGTTTTTATGATACAGTGTGCATACGATTTACAATGCAGACCACTAAAATAATGGTCAGCGGGTGAACTACCACGAGTCAATCTGCCGCAGATTTTGCAGTGATATAATATAGTACATTAAAAAAATATCTCAGTGGAAATATCACTCATAGAAGTCATGAATGCCATCGCTGTTGAAAGGTTGAGGACGCAAGGCTGCTTCAATCTCAGAGTTGCTGTCATCCGATTGACCCCAGAAATCTATACAGAGGTACAAAGAACAAAACACAGGATTACATTATTGTGGCAGAATGCTCACTCCAAGCTTCAAATGGACCGTTACTGTCGACATCTTGAGAATAAGTATTTTATTTCTATACTCACTTTGTCAAGGTGAGCTTACTGGAATACTTAGAATCTTAACATTCTTCCTTTTACACAGTTTATATACCAATTAGCCATAACGTTAAAACCGCTGCCAGGTGAGCGTGTCTTTACAACCCATTGGTCTTCTGGGAAAGCTTCATTGCTGACATTCACGTCGATGTTTTTATACTTAAAACTTTACAGACTGAACATGGCTCCCCGACAGCAGCAGCCTCTCCCAATGCAATAATGCGCTCCGCCAAAACTGCGTTGAGGAAACCGCGCCGAGCACCGATGGGACAAAGGTGTTATGGTGACAGAAGGGGGTCTGAACGTAATTATAGTCAGGTGGTTTTAATGCTGCAGCTCATCAGTGTATGTGTTCAATGTAGGTCTTTTGTGCTTGGAGAATTTTGGGTCTGATCACAGCTGTACATGTACAAAAAAAATCAACCAATAACTAATTAATAAAAAAAATTCTGAGCTTGGCCAATAAGAATCCAAACTGTAGTTCATTTCAAATTAGGACAATTTCCCCTTCATGATCATCTTCTTATGCATCTTTAGACCTAGAGCTGTGCACTGTGAATTCCCTAGGATCAGTTTGTCAGTGTAGAGTCCCACGCTGAGACAACTCAGGAACATTTAACCGAAACCTGCACTGTGATACCTTTGTTTCCAAGCATCTAATGCACTGAAAATAGGGAGGTCTCCTTTGCTCCACTGACACAATTCTCTCAAGTCATCAGCTCTTCTCCCCAGATTTGCCTCCCTGCAATTTGTTTAATTCCCCAAATTTGAAAATCAAGTTAAGCACTGCCGATTTAACACAGTGGAGAAGATCCAGCTCGCACTGCAAATGGAGACAGTCGATTCAATGAAATCAAATGTAGCAGCACTGATTAAGGTGGCCTGGTGGTCCATGGGAACCCTCTGATTGCAGCTCATAACATTAAACATCGTTTTGCCACTGTAGAGTCAGCAATGTTCTCTCTGCTTATTATTTAGAGCAGTACCTTAAATGCCTCAAAGTTCAGGGCTGTTGTTTAAGTTGACAAAGACACAGCATGTCCCCTAAAATGAAAGCATTTTAGCTTTTTTATTAATTGAGTTGGTAGCGCTTGCTTCAAATTAATCTTTTAGGTACCTGACTTGGCTTCATGGTCACATTTTATACAGACATCCTCAAAAAGGTACAGCTGCATTTAGAGAGAAATTTAATCAAATAGATGGTATTTTTATGAAGCTTAAATTTTTGAATAATTTCACAGATGTAAACACATGGATTCTCTATGGTGATCCGTTTGGTGCCATTAACCTCTTTTTGACACAGTGTGTTTTCACTTAAATGAAATAATTTAGTGTACACTCACCTTTTGACTGTAGCGTAGAATTAGCCTTTGAGCTTGCCTTCTCTCTCCTAGAAACACAAAGATAGTTAATAGCCTTGTGAAGTTGTGACCCCAGGCTCTCTTTGAGAGAGATTTACTTTTTCACTGCTGAAAAGAATGAAGAGAAAACTTTAACATGACCAAATACTGCAAGTGAAATACGTCAATTCAGATATCAGTCTTTGTAATCAGGTTACGGACTACACACAAACTAACCAAAGCAGTACAATAGAATAAAATAAAATCTTTGTAAAAAAAAAAAGCATCCATTTAACTTTGGTGATATTTAGTGGCTCGACTCAGACAGTGCACTCGTGAGAACTCCCTTGACTCCTATTGTAGGCGCTTGTGATTTTGCTATGTGGTTGTTCATTCACATGTTTGGCATTTTGTGTGTAAACTCACAAAGGTAAAAGAAATCTTGTCTGAGTATAATAAAACACACAGACAAATAAATCAGTCCAACTGGCATACGTACAACAACCAAAACAGACTTGCGTGAAGACGCCTAATTAATTCCAAAAGATGATATTTAATGGCTAGAACCATCGTGGCAAAGGGAACTTCCTTGACTCCTGTGTAATTGTGCCAAAGGACTTCCACAAGGCCCTCTTTATTCAAAAATAGTCCAAAGACAGGGTTGCCAGGTTCCCATAGCTCTGGTGATATCGCTATGTAAATGTGTGACCTCCGAAAAGGCTTTGATCTGCCTCGATGCATATGCAATAAGGCCCCCTGTTCCACTTTTAAAGGCCTCCTCTTTAATTTACATCATCACAGAGCCTATTCAAAAGCCCACAATGTATCCTCCTCATCGCCCAGGTTAGCATACACATCCATACTGCTTATTTGTTGGGTCTCCTATATTTGATTCTTTCTTATAAAAAAAAAAAAATGATGCAGAGTTTCAAACAGATGAAAAATCTGGTCCGCTTTTCCATCTGCATCAATTCAAACCCATGACCTCTTTGATTGTCACCCTCTCAATCACCCTCATCTCCTCATCACTCCCTCTTGGCACATGTGACTGTACATTGAGTATAAGGACCAAATTGCTCTGGCTGCGTTCCAGTTGCTATTTTCTAAACTTAAGACCGAATGAGAGAACAAAGATGCACCTCCCATTCCTAACTGTGAGCAGATTGCTCTGTGCTACAAGCTATATACCGCAGAGCCAGTCTAATTACTAGCATATAACCTTTACATTCATATGCTGATAGGACTTCCTACAGGACGTTTGGACGACTCGTGCATCTGTTCAGAGAGAATACTGAACCTCTGGCACTTAAAACGCAATAAAATCAAAGCAGGGAAGCAGTAAGGAAAGCAGTGGGGGGAGAAAACAAAAGCTATGACCTGAGAGCAGATAATCAGCCTGCCTGCAAGCTGATGGTGAACTGAATGTAAGAGCTGTGGATTTCCAAAATGTGCTTATTCGTGTAGAAATATCTCGCTAAATACACATTTATGTAAATAAAGATCATTCATCTTTTTTTTTTTTTATTGTGGCTTAGATCTAAAGTGCTATTATTGATTTTTAATATATCCTCAAACAGTATTTAACCAATGATGATACTGTGTTATATACTGGTTTGTCTGACCAAGCTAATAGAGGAACTGCATCGATAAATTAATTTGTGTTAATGTGTGTTTAACACATTAACACCTTCTGTCTGTACGGTGCATAAAATGAATTACCTGCGTTATTTGGAGAGAACAGGATTTATTTTCCTTTGTTTGCACTACAGCACAAAAATCATGACGGACACAATGAGGAAATCCAAGTGTTATCACGATTCAGCTTTCTAAACTGAATAAAGTAAAAACATTAAACTACGGCAAATAGTGTATCCATTTACAACGGTTAGGCAACAGATCCCAGCCAGACCCTGCAGCAGCAAAAATACAGCAATAATCTATACCATTACTTCCTCTCCTTTGCCACAATAATAGCTGTTACAGCGAGTAAATTGGGCTTTTCTTTTCTCGAACTTCCCCTCGGGATGGGAATGGCCTATCAGCTGTTCCACTTCAGTGAGGGACAGGACTGATTTCAAGACGGGTCTATTACCATAGAGAGCCCAGCCTGGATCTGACCTCACCAATCTAATATTCAGTTTCCATAAACATTTATGCCAGTTCATCTTCTGCTGAGTTTCCCTTAATTGAGGCAATGATCTGAATATGTAAGACTGAGATGGCCAGTGTTTTACAAGCTCTGCCACACAGAGGTGAATGTAATGTGTAAAATGATGCAAATTACAGCTATTGTAATGTTCTTTTTCAACCCCGCACTCATTCGCTTTTCATGGCCTTTGCAGTGGTTTCATATTGTTGTTTATCTCGTGTTTTAACAGTTTTTTTGTCTACTCTGCATTAGAGTTCAACATAACCTTTAAAATGTATGAGCTTTATATATATTTGACACACATAAGTATTTCTCTCAATTTCTCTTCTTGTTTATTTTGTTTTTTTGTCAAGTAAAACACTCTTGTTTTTCAACATATGATAAATTTACACGCGTGTGTGTATTTTTACATTTTTATATTTTGCGTTAGGACAACACATTGTCTGTCATTACAATACAAAGGTAATGACAGTGTGTGAAATATAAAATCTGATAAATATAAAATTTAATATCATGTTATGACACATTGTAAGAACAGAAGTTGGTATCATCAGCTAGAAATGACACACTTCTTTAAGATTAACACAATCTGTCCATGGCAGAGGCTTCAAAGACTATTCTTTACATTTTGCTCTTCGTGCCATTTTACTGCTTTACTGTTGTGTGCTGTATTAGCCTGTGGTAGTAGTTCAGCAAGTAAGTATCTAGTCTTCTACCACACACATACAAAAAAGCTACTGCTTTAGCTCTTGGCATAAAAACCATGTTCATGCTGTAGAGCTAAAGGAGCGCAGAAATGAACAAAAGCTACAGTCGCACAATAACTCAAGTAGGTTGACTATAGTATGCACTTTATAATAACAAAACCTTTATTATAGTTAGATGGCAATACATCAGTTCCTCAAGTATAAGGATAGAAACCATCTTCACATAGACTGTAGTAGTTTTGTGAGCTGCACCTAAAAAGAATAGTCTTTTTGAAACCATTGAAGCTGTATTTCACTTATGACCAACAGTCACATTAGGGAATGTGAGGACTATTGGAAGAAATTATGCTTAGCAAGGATTTAATACTGCTGCTGATGGCTAGAAAATTGCTTTTATTTACCCCGTCTTTTTTAAGCTCGCCACCCACACACACACACACACACACACACACACACCGTAATAACACAATAGCACTTTTGTGCAAGGACAATCATGTTACCACATATTTTACATGCAGAAACTGGATTAGTGAAATTGAATAATGAAAAAAAATTGGCACACTTCTTGTGGATTAACACAGTGATTCACTTATGTGAGAGTACCTGGGATTTCTGCAACTGTGTTTTAAATAATTCTCTGCTGTATTTTTTGTAAAAATCCTACGTTTGACTCTGTGAGCACCATCTCGATCCAGTTTTATGGAATATTTCTCATTTTCTTGAGAAACAAATAAAAACTACTAATACAGTTTTTTTTAACACAGTTAAGTTGCAAGTTAAATATGACCTATTATACTAAAACGTGTTCATGTGCAACAGTTAAATCTGGACCGAACAGAAAAAAAAAGCAAAATCTCACATTTTAACTTGACAGTGTGTCAAATTTACAATTTAAGGTCACGTTCATGCTAGAGTCATGAGACTAAAGCCATGTCCTTGGACATATATAAGATTTTTTTTCATGCATTGTCCTCCAGTTACATTAGGGAAAATGAATACTGTAAGAGGAAATAATGCTTACCAAGCATTTAGCACAGCCTTGCCAGCAGCTAGAAAACTGCTTTTATTTACCCTGGCTTTTTTTTTTATAAGCTTCTGCCACCCACACACAAATGCTAATAGCACAATAGCACTTTTGCGCGGCTGTGCTCGTCTAAAGGTAAAGGGAGACCCATCACCTCATCATTCCCATCAACTCCTACTCCCATCCCAGCTATGACCCTGCAGAAACAATGTTTAGGCTCCGTTTAGATGTACTCTAACAGGCCTGAATGGTAGCAGGATATAGCCCTCAGTGGGGGCAAACAGTGAGAGGCAACTATGAGTGCACTGTGAGTGGGCGCTCTCTAACATGTGAGTGCTCTCTGCTGGCAATGAGTAAGTACTGCAACTCAGAGAAAGAGGCACTGGGCCAATGATTTCAACACAGCGGGCTCTCGTCCTGACTGGTGGCAGTCTAGTGGAGACAGCCAGTGTGAGGGATGGATGAAGGACAGATCAGGTTACACTTTTTTAACGCCTCATCTAATCGAGGGTGGACTGAAATTTGCAGGCTGTCTGACACAAAAATTGCAATAATGTAGAGAAAACAGGAAAATAAAGCACCAGAAACATCTGAGTAAATGAATCCAAGCTGCTTTGAACAATAACAACACGGGTCACATGTGCCGTCTTTGGCTTTAAAGTTTTGCGTCAACCTAAACGAATCCCAAAGTTAAATAAAGTGATCACAAATAAAATGTGAAAACACAGAAACAGAAAATGCCTGAAAGACGGCTTCTTTTATAAAAGAGCAATCAGGCATTCATCCGTTTCAGAGAGCCAGTGCAGCACAGTGACCTCCTCTGGCTGGAGTCTCTAAATGCTGCCTTTATCTATTCATGGTTGTTTGTGGTAGTGGAGTGGTGGGGGTGGGGTGGGCTGGGTGCAGCTAACATACTGTCAAATGTTTACGCACAGAAAAACAACTTTGTTGCCTGACGTTATAACCATAAAAACATTTAGAAGAACAGATGCAGTATGGGTAAAAGGCAGCTCGGTCTCACACGGCCAACTATTCTGCTGTCTTTGTGCTCCTTATGTCGTTTTTGGATTCTGGATTTGCGATTTTCCACCTATTAATACTTCTTTGTCCGTTACCGTCTCTCTCTCCCCCTCTATGTCCTGCTTTCTCTTTTACGTGTCCTCCCCCCTTCTCAGCTCTGGTCCCTCTCACCCCTCCATCTCTCCTCCCAGTGAATTGTGACATGTTCACATAGCCTCCACATATGTGTGTGTGTGTGCAGGAAAGACACACACACAGCTTCTGATTTTGACACACTGAATGATCTGAGGTCGAATGCTTGAGCACATCCTGTTGTCCAAAGCAAAGCTGTAAACCACTAATTGTTGTGTCAAGGTTTTTGTCAAGCAGGCACTAGGCACAACAATCATCACCCCGTCTGATGGCTGCAGATTTTGTTTTGTGTGTCTGTGCACATGTGCTTGAGCATCCCCCCCCCCCCCCCATCTCTGGATCAAAAATGGGGATACGCGATGGAGCGGGGAGGGCATAAAAAAGGTATTAAAAACCCCAAAATAAAAACAAGAAAGGAGTGCCATCTGAAATGCCTACAGTAGAAAGGAGCACAATGTTTCTTTGCACGAGAGGAAGCAGTGGCATGCACTCGCATACAAAGGGGAACAAGTGGTCTTTACATGGAGTGCAGCTGCTTATTAAGACTCACTCCTTCGTGCATTATTCCTTTCATCCCCACTCAACCACAAAGTGATTTTACTTTGCTACTCACAAAGACAGCAAAAGATTTCTAATGGACAAATCCTTCATAAATGTTGCAGATCAGTCGCTTCCCCGCGAGTTATAATACAATAAACAGAACATTCCATAAAAGTATCTAACTGAAAAACACTGTGTGGGAGAGAGCGAGGAAAAGAGAGACACTGGAAAGCAAAAGAATATGAAAGAGCCCAATTCTCTCCAACTTCATAATAGTGAAATGAGCACATATAAATGTGTTAAGAGTATCTCTTTGCATCTTGTATAGACTGCATGTATTTAATCTGTAAAGCTTATTAAGACCCCAGTCATTGCTATGCAAAGCAGCACCCAGTGCTTTTCTCTCGCTTTTCAGCTGAGTGCAGTGTTTGGCCAATAGCACTGGCCCCCCGCCTCTCATTCTGCATTCATAACATGCAACATTTGCACAATGTATCTCTCAAAGGCCCTGAATAGAAGGCCTTAATACTCATGTAAACAACTGCAAACCAATTACTTAATGAATCAGGCCCACACATAATGAGAAGCCTCACAAAGGGCTATAAATGCATTTTTTGCACCAAAGCCTCTGCTTTAAACTACAATCCCTCTGCTGTAGTCTAGGCTTAACTGGCAAATCATAATTATTGTCTAAGACAACAGAGAGGAAGCCATTTTTTTATTTCGAGTCCAGCACCATCCTCCTTTTGAAGTCACTCATCAGCTCGCTGACAAAATAAAGCAAATAATTAACACAGACAGGGGAGAGGAAAACACAGGAAGACGGCGAGGAAGAGGGGCAAACAGATAGAAAAAGGGTAAGAGAGAGAGAGCGAGACGCAAAGAGAAAGAAGGAGGAAAATGGGGCAATGTTACGCCTCTGCTTAAGCACAGGGCTTCCAGACCACTTGTGGAAGCAATAAAGAGCAAGAAGTGACTGTTGTAAGTGGAATGCTTACATCTAAGCGTTGAGGGAGAAATGGAGCAATTGCTGTATCAGAGCGGCAGCAGGTAAAAACAAGTTACAATAAAGTCCTTCAAAATACTGCTTTAAATTACATTTAGGATGAAACCTGTTCTGGAAATGTACAACAAAAAGCAAAAACACAATCCTTCCAAACAAAGAGATGGGTGTTGGGTCAAGATGAACATTAAAATGAAACAAAAATTGTATTTGTGATCCAAAGGAAATCCAACTGTCCCAACAGCTGTCATTTACTTCACTAAGTTTATTTGTGACTAAACCCTCTCCATATCCAACCAGCCATCTCCTCCAGCATCCTCTGCATTGTATTGCCTCCCTCCCCCACTGTGTTTAAGCATCAGGGATTTATCTATTTTTAAGAACTAGAGAAGACAACATAAAACTTATCAGTCTAATAATAAGAGAGATATTGTTCAAAACTGCCTGAAAGGGTTCTTAAAAATATATGTTGTAAGTGGACATAAATAAAACTGAACTGAGCAGGGCAAATGTTATGATGTAATATCATTTTACTTTACATTACTTAATATGGACTAATTACAGCATCATCTGTGCACGAGCTGTTTTAACTCAGACTCTGATCTCTGACCTGGATCCTTACATAGAGGAGTCCAATATCACTGCTTTACAATTAAAGTTCTTTTATCAGTAAATGTCTATTCAGGGCGCACAGCCACTCCGAGTATGACCAAAGACGTGCTTGGTGCTTCCTTCCACACTCCAGTTGGAATAAAGTGTTGGCCATGCATAACTACCCGTTTTTCCAATTTCTCTTGTGTACACAACTTGTGTCTCATAACTCCTCGTGGCATTTTGTTTTGCAGTCTAATTTCTGTTCTGCAAATTTTGTTTAATCACAGATATTGCGGACTTCCCATGCACATTAATGACAGGGAGATGGGCACCATCTGAGAGGGTCTGGGCCCAAAATTGGCTCATGTTTATTAAAGAGGTTGGTCACCCGGGCTGGTAGTGGCAGACATCAGCAGCTATGAGGACCACAATAGAGCCAGGCCATTAGACCCTTCCCTGGGCTAATAGGCAGACTGGGAGCGCCTGCTTGCCAGGCCAGGGAGATGCAGACTTCAGCCCTTGTGTCAGCATGGTGCCCAGTAATCACATGAAATCAGAGAAGATTATTCCTCATAACGTTTACCCAGCCATTACTAGAGCCCAAATGGTTTGCAGTGAAGAGGTGCTCTGAGGACCTGACATGCAATTGCAGATTTGATGAAGTCGTGTTGATATTCAAATGTAACCGTGGCGTGGTTAGTTTCCACTGAGCTATTTATCATTAGATGTTCTTTTCTTAACCACTTAAAGCTCTGATTTGACCAGCCTAAAAATGTTTCAAGGGTGAAAAATGAAAGGACATTTGTCCTTGTCAACACTCGAGCCGGCTTCTTCCAAAAGCGTTGTCCCCGATTCTCTTCTTGACGTGATATGTTTGCATTTCGACAACAAGCCTGAAGACAGTTTAGGGCTCCAATTTATTTTTGTGGTAGCCGATCTGCTTTTGAATTCTAAAACCTGGTTGAACCCAGCAAACGGTGAGTAAGAGGGGGCTTTAGGGACCTTTTGTCTTTGTAAGCGAGTTAATGGGTGGCACCCCCTTGATCTTATGGAAATGAACAGGGAATTATGAGAGCAGCCATGCAAATGTACATCAACCACTTTGGTGTCTGGTGGCCCATTTCGTGTGGCCCGTTGAATAATAACAATGTTCTTACCGAGGGTAAGGGTCTTGATGTGAGGAGCTTTTGGCCCTCCGCAGGTCCTCTTCATGGCCATGATTTATTCCTTAAAAGAGCAAACAGGGCTGGATGAAACCATTTGATTTCTTGATTGATCTCATCACAAGCTAATTTACCTTGTATACTTATATAGAAACATGTAAGGCTAATAGCAGTGCTATGCTATGAGTACAGTGAATTCGTATTCAAAGTATGTTTTTTAACAATCCATTTGGAAGTTCTTGCATCCACCATATGGCGCATATCACAAATCATGTGATAACTAAAATCTATGATATGTTTTGTGGAGTTAAAATGGGATTTGTTGAAACTTCACTGAGCAGAAATGTGAGCATAGAAGAGAACTGTTGCTTCTCATGTCCACGTATTTCCTTGGTAACCAATGATTAGGCTCCAGTTGTTCCCTACTTGACTGGAAGAGTGGACCACATCCCTTACCTGAGAGGCTATCCTCCTCCTCCTCTTCAGAACTCTGCCGCCTTTCCATCATGGCTGATTGTTTAAGTAACTGATATGCTTTTGTCTCTATTTAGGGACACACGTGGACGCACACAGGCACAAACACACACACACAAAGTCACGGTCAAATATTTGCTTATAACCCAGGTTTCCAACTTTCACAGGTTTCTGTGTTTGATGAGACAACACGCTTCAGTGGCCCCGTTTTTTTTGTGTTTTTGGTTTCATCACTTAACAGAGTGGGTGAGAAACACTCTGCTCATTCAGCTAAACTGTTGATTCAAGCCTACAGTATGCAGCAACAGTTTCCATGAGACAGCAATCAGCATCTCACATTATCTCAGCATCCCCTACCAGGAAGGGAATGATTGATTTTGTGTTTAAAAAAATAAAAGAAACACTTGTAATTACTTTCCGTGACACTAAAAACGGTATCATATTTGAGTGGAGGAGAGAGACTGAGCTGGCAAAAATCAACAGAACAGAAGTACATAATAAATGGGCTGTTATCTCACTGATGTTACAAAAAGTACACATTCAAAGAAAGAATGTGAAAGGCAAAGCAAAATTGTGATCTTCTGTGACCAAGTCCTAACAGTTTCAGCTGGGATTCACAATAAAAACATAGGTTTTAATCATTGTTGAAAGCCATACCATGTTTACAGTGCATTCCAATCTCCACTTCATACAGCCACTGCTTTTACACGTAGTCTCAAAAACCCCAGCAGGTCTACAGGCGTGCATGTTTTGGCAATTACTATCAGTTCCAAGGTCACCGTTTTTGATTGTGACATTGATGTTGCTCAGCACAGCAAAATCCTTCCCTTGCAAAATCTTTAGTCAAGTTTTTTTTTTTTTTTTTTTAGCTGTTATGTCTCTTTTGATTAAGTGTAGCGATTGGAAACTGGACTCATTTTGCTGGCTGTGCACCTTAGGGATGCGGACACATGAAAAACCCAGTAGGAAATCTGATAGCCAAGGGTAGTATAGGATTGCTTTACATTTCAGAGGTGCAGCTGAGGGATGGGCACACCAACTGCTTCCAGGATGCCGTCACATCTAGTATTTTAAGTCCAGCCTTGCCGGAGCATTGTTTAGAAGATAATGAGAACCGATGACAGATCTTTTGCGCTTCCCACCCTGGCGCCCTGACAATTAAAGCGGCCGCATTATGCTGGGGCAGTGAATTATCAATTTTGCTAGAATGCCTCAGACCGAGCTGAAAACACAGCTAGTGTTTTCTCGGAGATAATTAGAGAGAACTAGCACAGCTCTTCAGGTGGGACTTTGACCCTGGATTCACCTTGATCATCCTGCCTCAGCCATTGTGTAAAAGAGCCCATTATTCACTGCAGTGGGAAGAAAACAAACCACAACATAAGGACAGTGTGAATGCTGGGGCACCGGCAATGCCTTTTTACCTCTAATAGGACCACTTTCCACAGGGCTTTCGTCCTGGCTGTCCTCTTCAGCACTTTGTAGTTCTGTAAGAAAGGAAAGCGCATAGTGAGAAGCAATGGCAGGGAAGAAGGGAGTCTAGGGATAGAAATGGGAATGGGGGGGTCTTTCTTTAGCTCTGAAAGGATGGCTGTATGAAAACTGCGCTGTGAGGGATTTATATATTAAAAAAAAAAAAAAAAAGCTCTATGGTGAAATTGATTTCTTTCATGAAAGGGAAGTTTTAGTACTCTGCAGAGTTGGTCTCCAGAAAAAAAAAGTCCATATTTCTTCCAATTAATGGTCTTGTTACATGTGACACAATGACTTATCACAGCGTGGAATCACAAAGATCCATGCTGGATGTTTTGTTAGAACCCAAACCCATATTAACGTTTCATTAGCATCATTTTCATAATTAGAATTGATCATGCCTGGTGATATTATACCAATCATCTTCAGTGACCTTGGATCCGTTGCTTCCATACGGGCCTGGCAGGCTTCGCATCCCCATCAGCCAGCAGAGAAGGAGGACCACATAAAGAAGATAAGTCACTCTTGTCCTCTGCTGAGGGGCACTCCTCACTGGACCGGGACAGAAGTGTCCTCAGCAGCACTTTGGCCTGCGAGCAGCACAAATTAAAACCACACTCTTAATTGTTCTCATTTTGTGAAGGAAGTGTCAAATTGAACTCTCGCCGATTAGGCAAGTCATTTACTTTGGCCATGGCTGCTCGCACAGAGGTGCAGCTGTAATGCGTGTTCAAACGCCAAGAGAAAATAACTTGAAATTGTCTCACTCGTTTAACTCAAAAAAGATGATTTCGCACACTTTCGCTCCCGCTCTCCCTCTCAATCACACTTTTTTCCTCTCACTCTCTCTTTTCATCCATGAGATTAGAGAACTGCCTAAAGAATGCAATCACCCCGGTGTTAATGTGCAACACGTCCCAGATATCTTCCCTCTTGGCTGAGAGGATTGAGACAAACTACTCTCTTCCTCCCACTCTGCTCATTTTTATCTCTGTGGAGATGAGGATACACAATTAAGAGGAGCTGTTCCAGGAGATGGGGAGCAGCGAGATGCCACACGCCGATTTCCTTTCTCTCCTTCTTCCCTCCCCCGTATCAAATCCTGCCATCACCATTTCTCTTTTGTGATCAAAGACTGCCTCTCAGCCTCAGATGGCCATTTGCAACTTTTAATGAGCGCTAATATGGAGGAGATGATCAGGAGGATTTTGACAGTGACAAACTTTAAGTGCATTGTAAGTTGTTATCAGTGGGTCACAGTTATGACTGACAATGTTCACGCTTTCATTTGCAGAGAGCAGAAGAGACGCAAACACAGGACAATCTGAGTTTGCCACTTGGTATTTGATGCTGCTGCACAATAAAAACTGTCTTGATCCTTGTCCCCGATATCCCTCTTTGTTCCTTTTTTTAGATTTAGTCAAATGTACCGTGGGTTGAGGGCTCTCGCAGACCCACTGCATTTTAAATATCAATGAATGCAACTGTTAGCACTTGAATATTCAAAGGGCCTCTTTGAGTGTGTGCATGCGAGCTGCATGCTCCCATTTGTCAGAGTAGCCAGGCTGTGTGGCAAGATGTGAATGGAAATTTCTGTTTTCTCTTGTGTGTGTGGAGAGTAAGCTGTTGTGTGAGAGGACAGAGAGGAGAGAGACGGAGAAATGGGAGGACGAGACGGAGAAATAGATGGAGATGGAGTGAGGACGCTGAAGAGAAAGAAAGATTTCCACTCAGGCTTTTCCTCGTGTGCTTGGATACAATGATTTCGATGGCAGCACCCCTCTTCCTTTTGTCAGTGCATACTTTTAAGAGGCTGCACAGTCTCCCTCTTTGCTTCTCTCACTGCGTCAGCAATACTACAGCCACAAGAACCCACATAACATGAATCCACAAAAATTAATAAGACAAAAACCTGCATGTGTAGATAATCACTCTGGCAGCCAGATAGTGGGTTTGCTGACATGTCTCTTGACATCATCGTTGAGCTCTGAGTGGGAATATTCTTTGTCATTTCTTTCTTTGTTTAATTGAGCATGATCCACAAGGTCAATGAGTGGGAAATTTAAAATAATCCCATTGAGTAGAAGGTCCAAATGGCTCCCTCGTTCAATCAGACCCAACTGACGGCTATACTTTTGGCTAATACTAAATTAAAAGCAAGTGTTTCTCAGATGAATACACCACATGAGATGAAAGAAGCCAAGCTGAGGCTGTAATTTGCGATTACGACATGGGTCAGGGTTTCCCTTCTGTCTAGGTCAATGTGTGGAGCAATCTGATGAGCAGGAGGCCAGGGCTTAGTTTCCAGCACGAGACACAAAGAGGGCATTTAGCAGTAACTGCACTCCTCTTCAAAAAAAACACGCAAAGGAACAAGCGGAGAAACAAAAACACTCGCTCATTTGGAAAGAAGAGGGAAAAAAGGGGGCCATATTTCTGTGCAGATATCAGTGCGCTTTCGGGATGCAAGTGTGTGACCTCCTGTTTGTTTTTGTGCATGTCGCTGGAGTGGATGTGCCTTCGACGCTACCTGGTGGCTGTAGGTGGCATGACGGCTGAGCAGCAGCGGCGTGAACAGTTGGACCAAGCGCTCAGTGCTGAGGACGCGGCGCTCCTTGAGCACAAGGGCGTGCTTGAACCAGCGATCCCACAGCCGAGCAGCATTAGGAGGGAGGCTGGTGCTGCGGTGAGGATGGGGGTGGGATTAGACGGAGAGAAATAGCGGCTTTGTTATTGAGCACACAGCAGGAAATACGAACATAAATCATAATTATACGCGCACAAAGTAAAAGATAATTAGATAATCAAGAAAAGTGAAGAAGCTGAAAAGTTTGGAACACCTCCAGTATAAAGCATTTCTCAGAGCTCTTCCTTTAAGCAGCCTTTTTAGAAAGGGTTATCCTAAAACAACTCAGAGGTGATAGATTATTAATGAATTCCAGTTAACACTGAATAGACACAGACAGCAAAATTGATTCAGGTTGAAAAACTGAATAAAAAGGTCGAGGTCAGCCAGGAGGGATCTCCAGAGGAAAGAGGGGGGACACTGTTAGATGTGCTCCTTTGAATTGACTATATAGCAGGAAAGGTCTCAGTGAAATCAATAGAGTAGTGAAGCAGAGCATGGATTTAGCTCAGAGTATAACTACTCATTATCCAAAGGACTGGAAGTCGCAGATAGGGCATTTTAATTTACTCATGACATTCACCCACGCAGTGTTACTGTGTGAGGTGACACCAAAGATGACCTTTTACATTTGTGGACAAGGGAGACTGTATCAAATAGTAGCATGAAATCTCTCTGACTGCTGTAAGTGCATGACCCTCCCCACAGTCTAGTGAAGGAAAAAAATAATAATAATAGTAACATAAAATCAAATGCACACACAGCCATCCATGCGTACTGTAAGGTGGTTTACTTTCCTGAAGAAAAGAAGACAAATATCTATTGAACTCTGCAGCTTTTACAGCACTGATATTTGTGCTCTGAACGACTCCACTGTGAGGTGGTACAAGTAGATAATCACGCAACACCCAAAATATCACCAACATTTTATCATAGATCTATATATAAACAGCAACAATGCATACGCTTACCTAACATGTATATAAGCATCATTTTTACATCATCACAATTCAAAAGTAAATGAAAATATAACCCTAAACAAAAACTGCAACTGCACACAAATAAGCCAGCCTGTGGTTTTGTTTTGTTTTTGCAACATATGAATCCATAATATAAAAAACATGCACAGGCTGATGTCAGTTTCTGGCGCAGGATTCACAGACAAACCAGGAGCCTTACCTTATTTCATTAGGCTCAGTGCTGGCCTGATGAGCACACACCAGATCCTGTGGTAGCAGGCAGCCCTTTTCTGTGCTCCATGACAACCTCTGAAGCTCATGAAGGACGACTGCTCCACACGCTCCAAGGTCCTCGTCATTCAAGCCCGCTCCATCGTCACAAAGGCTTCCCAATATATAGAGAGCAGTCAGCTATTGCCATGGAGCTCTGGGCTCTGCCAGCAGGTCAGGAGTACACAGCATACATCGAACAACTGCTAATACTTCACACACAATATGAGTATAATCACACACATCAAGGCGCATGCACTCCAGCTCACATAATATCACAGCATGGCTAAACGCTCTACCAAGGGTTGTGACACAAAATGGCCCAAGATGTTGTTGACATCGTTCACAAATGTGACGTTTGTACAGACGGAGAGCTTCGCCTTTGTTAATCAGTATTTCACTACTGCTGTAAATGAATCGTGACGTAGAAAAATCTTCTACAAAAACCAACCTTTATCTAATAAATCATGTGCACAATGCTCTCTCTGCCCAGTAACAATTCAGCAGAGCGGTTACTATAACAATCCCACGTGTCTGAAAACCCCTCAGAAATAAAGATGCACGCATGGCGGTAATGGCACTTCATCTAATGTGAGAGCCCTCGGCAGAAGGATAATATGTTTTCCTCATCTGCACAAACTGCTCCCTTAAATAAATATGTGTAGCATTTCATTCAGACATGGGGAGACAAGTTTTAAAAAGTTTGAAGAAAGACACTAAGGGTGTACCTGATAATTCTACTGAGCTCGAGTCCATCGACAGAAGAATCCCCGTACACACTGGCCTGTTCGCTGCGAAGTCGTCCTTCAATGCTGTCTAGCAGATTATAGAGTCCTTCCTGGGAGAGACTTAAAATAAATTACCTATTAGTGTGGTGAATGAACAAAAAAATGGAAGAGGTCACGTGATCGATAGGTCTGATATTTTTTTAAATGAAAATAAAACTATGGTAACATTTTTTGTGGGCGATTTCCTTGAGGTACTCAAGGCTTGCTGGAGAATGTGATCATTAAACTTCCACAATACAGCTTTTCAACAGTTCACCGTGTTCGTTGATTTTGTCACGTGTAATAACAGGTTGCAAGCGAAGAGTTCGACAAAACCAGCATTCAGATCCGGAGCTTGTTTGCTGCTGAATTAATGCGGTATCGAGCAGAGTTGGTTAAATTGCGAAATAATGCTCGAAACGAGTAATATGACGTTACAGTTAAACTCCATTACCGGTTGTAGCTCGTGCATAAAAGTGTACGGAAAAAGAGGGGCCTCTGGATGATTTCCTTTGGTGAGAGATTTACACTTTAATCTGGTCCTGTGTGCGGCTACAAAATGAGAAATGGATGCCTAATGCATGTGGATATTGAGAATCCATCTCTTTCTTGAGCATTAAGCTCTGGGTGGCCCTCATTGAATTCTCCCAGAAACCCCAAGCCGAGAGATCCTGAGCCCCCTTACATAAAAAGAGGCCAAAAAGAATTTATGACAATCTGTAATGGGCTCTTGGGTTAGGGGTCAGCAAACAATTGCTCCCTCTTTTTTGCAGGTTGTTTCCTGGTAACATCCTGATTAAGCTGGCAGCTTGAATTATATCCATGACATTCTGTAGTGTGCAATACATCTGTGCCAAGTCCTCTTCAGTGTGGCTGAAGTAGAATAGGCAAAAGCTCTGTCTTTTTTTTCCCTTTCCCTTATTGCCAGCGTGGGCCTTGAAATAGTCATCTTTCTCTTTCCACTTTATTTATCAACGCTCTTCAAAAAGAGACCTTTAGAGAGTGAGAAAGTGAATTAGTTGTGTTTTCCTGCAAACCTCTTTCTCTACTGTATTGTTGCCAGCTTTCATGTCAAGGTCTCTAACCTCACTTTAGATGCTACTATTGTCCGTGTGTCCACATCATCAGGAGTGTATTGTTAGCCAGGAGGAAGAGGTCAGCCTCTCTGCAGCAGTATTGCCTTACAGCGTCGAGTTGTGGCTCTGGGGTTATTTATCACATGGAATGGCCTCACCATTGAGTGACTGGTGTCAGGCGAATCTCACCATCCAGGCACAAATAGCAAGTGTAACACACAAAAGGACACGGAAAATATAACCACAAGTAATAACAGCACACACTAAGTGCAGTTACACCTGCCTAAATCTGGGATAGGCCCAGCACGCTGTCAGAATTCACCTTAGAAAATACAGAGTGAAAATTTGCGAGACCTTTGCTAAACTAGAATTTAAGCCACAGGAAAAAAAATACTGAGCAATGCCCTAATGACACTGCAATTACAATTTTTTCAAAATCCTATACGCTTTAAGCTCCATCTGTAGGATTAACTGGGATTTTTAAGAAGCCAGTGTTAACTGTATCACATGCTGTCACCAATCAATCAAACCCATGCAGCACTTCAGACAACACATGTGAGAGCAAAGCACGTTGAGGGCATTGTGATGGTATTAAAAATTAAACTATACAATATTTGAGTCTGTAGGAGAAATGGGTTGTTTTTCCCTGACTGTTGGGGCGATATAAGCTTTAACCTTAAGAGAAATACACGCAGGATAGAGACTGGATGCTCTGCGAGGTTTACATCAAAGCCTCTGGTTTTCTCCTCATACAAAGAAGCTCTCCGTGTTAACAATGAAAGCTGCAGCCAACTCCATTGTCTACCCAGCACAGCCTAACTGAGGCTCCTCTTGGGGTCATGCTATAAAAAGTATAGTCGACCACACATAAACACAGTCGGGCACAAACAAACATGCAGCACTCTCAGAGAGAAAACATAATCCTCCACAATATTTTTGATGCTCACAGAGAGCACACCAATTAAAAAATAAAGCCTTTCATACCAATAATGCTCAGAAATTACTATTTATTTTTGTAATTACAGAAAAAGAAATAATATTTAAGAATATAGTCCATAATGTGACCCAAGAACAGAGAGAAGGCAAACATTAAACAGTGTTTTTTTTTTCCTTGAGAGTACAGTGAAGAAAAAAGTGCACACAAAATGAAGTTTTTTTTTAAGAGCATAAGAGGTGCTGTTCATAAAAGACCTCATACTGTAGCGAAAATGCAAAGGCTCTCCGTGCAAACATTCACATAGGATTTTCTGTGGCTCTAACCCCATCCAAAATGATCCTTCAACTCAGAGGCCATCATCACGCTAAGGATTTGTGGCTGTAAGTGCTGTCCACATGCCCACCCCTCCACAGCACTCTATGGTGCCACAAATTTCCTCCTCCACTGGGGACTTCCTGAGGTCTCTCAAGCAGAAAATTGCTCTGTTACAGCATTATCTTGGATTATGGCAATATTGTTGGTGACAGGTCCCCAGCTCTCCCTATAAGATGCATCACTGCCACCGCAGCTGCTGCTGAACTACAGAGAGGACGGTGGCATGAACCGTGACTCCCACAATCCTCTCTGTCAGCCTCAGATGTGAAGGTGGAAAGGAGGCGTTTGCGGCGTGTTCACTCGCTATCATCAACAGCCCTCTGTGGTTCGGCATGGCCATGCAGAACATTCTCCTTGCTTAGCCCGCTTAGCCTTAAATTTTGGGGAGGGAAGCTGCTGACTGCACTGAGCACCGTTTGAGGAAGAATGTTAGTGTTTTTCTTCACTGACCCACTTTGAAAACGTCAGACAACAAACTACATTAGTCATATATACTGTACCTTTTCAAGGCCCCCACTGCAGCTTTGCTGTTTAAGTGGAGTATTTTCTTGGAGCCATTAGAGTGCAGAGACGATTCAGGACTGTGCTGGTTGTGATCACGCCTTCCGTGAGTATTATTACCCTCATGTGCCCCACCCTCTGGTGCATCCTCCTCCAGCTCAGATTGTGTCAGAGAAATAGACAGGTCACTAGCAGTGCTCTCTGACAACTCCACATCTGAACTCATTGTGCTGACACTCTCACTTTTACCTGGATGTAAATATACAATGTAGTGTAAAGGAAAAAAAGTGCTTTAAAAGATTCTAGCACAGACAGAAAGATCACTGCAAACCTGTTCTCTCTTCAGCTTCTTTTCCCAAAGTGGTTTTTAGCATCAAATGGCCGTGACCTCTCTCTTCATCTTCCATCGTGCGTGCCTCGTGAGCCACCTCTTTGGAGTCGGTGTGTTCTGCGATGGAATTCTGAGTCCTCGTCGGGCTTCTGCTGCCAGGAGATGGATTCTTCTCAGGCCCTGTCAAGGTCGCCAAAGGTGAAGGTTCCCGTTCATCATCACTTCCAAAAGCCACACCGCCAGCTGTGCCTGTTAAGGCACGAACAGATGGGAGCGGCCCCATCGTTCTTTCATGTTTGTCACTCAAATTACCGTCGTCAGGGGAATCGTTTGAGCCTGAAATGTCATCTGATAAATGTGCTCGGTTGCTGGCGGCATCCTCTCCGCCGACTGTGAAGTCCTTCAAAAGGCCACTTGGTAGACGCTCGCGGGAGTGCAGGCTGCGATTGGGTGAATGATGCAATGCTTGGTGTGAGTGTACACTTGTGCTGCCAGCTTCTGCATCAGGCCCTCTGGAGGTCTGGTGGCCCATAAAAATTTCCACTGGTGCTTGTTTAAAATCCTTAGCTGGGTGAGAGACGTATCCGTCCTGGTGCTGTGCACGAACAGCTTCAGCCTGCACTCATGAAGAAAACAAACACACACACACAATATATTCATTTTATCAGCTAAACTTTTCATTACCTCATAAAATATTTTTTTCCAGGCATGAATATGGATCGCTTAAAATGTCAAAGTTCTTGTTTCAGTTAAATAAGTGCTATTTTGAAAGAATTTCAACTCAAGTATGTCAGCTATCCACTTTAGAAATTTGAATAAATGTAGCTTATTTGGGCCAAGGTCAGAATTCTTTTCACAACATTTTTCAAAAGAATGTCTCAGGATCAATGTTTTAACTTTTAATCTTATTAGAAATCCTTTAGACAAGTTTTGATTCATGTCTGCAATGTCACCAAGGGCGGGGAGAGAGAGAAGCAAAAAAGCCTCCCTCCAAACATAATAACAAAAAGCATGGCTTCTGTTTCTTTTCTGATAAGCGTCTTAAATACCAAACAGTTAGCTGCTTAATAACATTCACTGTAAACCATGCAGCCTGCCCAGCAGATCCACAAAGTAGGTAAAAAAAGAGGAAAAGTTAATTTCTTGGCTGAGTGATTCCATCGGTAGCTGCAGGGCAAAGTAGAAAGTGTTTCACTAAAGTAGCAATTGATTCTTCTATCAATCTGCGGCACGCGTGTGCTCTTCCAAGGAATGTATTAAATATGAAAATCATATCCCGTTATCATCTGTCTCCAGCTTTCAGCCCGGTAAGCTTCCCTTAATGAATGCTGCAGCCTGAGGGACATGCACACTGCCAGCCAATGGCTTGTATGCATAATGGAGTGACGGTACCATTTTGCTCATTACAATATCGACAGACTGAGGGGGGTTTTGCACACAGTTACAAGTGACTGCTCTAGACAGCATGCTCCAAGTTATTATGAGATGTCTTAGACATTTCATCTAAAAGAGCTTTAACTGCTTTAAGTGAAGGGAGAAAGCAGCCATGGGCTTGAACTACATCGCTTGTACAGATTCAGCAGCTAGGATTAGACACCTGTGTTATTACAGATACACAGTTTAAATGTAGACTCTACAGATTTACCAGGCATAATGTCTACGTTCCTTTGTTATTCCAAACCTAAAAACGTAACTTGATAGAACTGAAATTAGCATAAACCTTTAAACATTGGAAAAAAGAAATAAGTACCATTTATCATCCAAAAAATATAAAACAAACAAACAGAGTGCAGGTTACCTGATACATAAAGGATGTGATGTGTGTGATCACATGCTATTGCATACCTTTGCTGGTTCCCGCTCCATTTTCTTCTTTGCTTCCATAAATTTGGAAATCTTTTTCAAACACTCAGCCTGTATGAAATAAGACTGAATTAATAATTAAAAGATAAATGACTTCTTTAATATTCAACTGGCATGTGTCATGCAAACTCGTCTAACCTGTCTGAATATTAGCTGGATGTGGTGTAAAAGTGGGAGAAAAAAAATAAGGAAAGTAGCTGAAAGCAGCCCCTATCAGTAACAGAGGGTTTTCCTAAGTGAGTGTCCTCTATGCAGACGCTGACACCCCTTAGCATTTTTATTTGGCCGGGCGGACTCACTGCCTTACTGCCAACTCCAACAGAACCTTTGCCACACCTTTAAATTACAAAAACAGACCTTTAAAAAAATGTGTCTTTTAACATACAGCACAAATACCAAAAATACAAATACAATAAAATCTAGATAAATATACATGCTAATCGGAGAGGGAATATATACTCACTGTCGGTTTGAGAAATGTGTTTTTCTTTGTACCAAAAGCATCACGGTTCAACCAGAAAAAAACCGTGGTTGATTTTACACAATGGAAACAAAGTGCAACAGGACGACCAAAATAACAGCAAACATGCAGGACTCATAAAGCATCAAGAGGAAATAAACCAACTGCTTGAGGGGAGAGAATGGCTAAATCTCTGGAGCACTTCAGAGTCTCTATATTGGGCAATTAACTCGGTGAGTCATAATTAGCCAATTTTGTTAATTTGATATTAAGCTGTCAAGCACTGTCGTTGAGTTTTAAGTGATAATCTGACTGGCTCATTGTTTTCTCCCCCGTTCATTTGCTTGTCATGATAAATTGCACAGTTTGAGTGTTTACTATTGTCACATCAAGCCATTGCAAGCAAATGTCTGCTCTGTTAAAATTGCAGCAAGGCATTAAGGCAAATGAGCATCAACAACACGCTCATTTATAAAAACGCAGCATCCCTAATAAATATATATATTTTATATATACCTGCACATGCATGGGCGGCCATTATTCCAAAGTTAACCTCGTAGAACTACGGTTTTCTTAAACGTACAGCTTGGACAGCAGTAATTACTGGTTATTACACGTGAATCTAAAAATGTCAGAAGAAAAGTACAACTGTCAAATCTGATTCCACCGCAGTGAAAGGAGTGTTTGTTCATACTAAAAGCCTGCTTTCAGTACGACTCCATAATGACAAAAGCTACTCCACTGAACAAATGAACTTGAGCAAATGTGTGTGTGTGTGTGTGTGTGTGAGAGAGAGAAAGAGAGACAGAGCATGTGTGTGTTCTACCTTTTGTTGTTGGAGGGGGGCATGGTCAGGACTATATTCCTTCATGCTAATTTCTATGCACTCCACATCTCTCAGAAGCTCAAGGTTTCTCATTTTCGCTCGTGCTTCCCTGTCACAGATTTCCTTGAGATAACTGCGCAGTTTGGAACACTTTATCTGTAAGCTGAAGGCAGTGGAGAACTATTATTCAAAAGAAATATTATCTAAGAGCATTGTCAGAAAATAAGAGCTCGACTTCTCAGGAGAAAAGGTTAAGCACAATATGTTTTAAATTTAAATCTCATTCTCAAGTCGCCCATCAACCTAAGCCCTGCTGGATGGACCTGGCATGTTGGTGTTTATGAGACATGATTTACATCTTTTTTTTTTCTTTTTTTTTAAAGCAGTGTTATGCTTGTACACATTGTATTAAATAAAAACTGACACAAATGCCTGGATTGTTTATTCCCAAATGAAAATAATAAAACAGCTGTCAATCTATGAATACATGGGAATTTTTTCAAATCAATTTCATATACAATGATGAAAGTCCTCTCACATATAATTGGATATTTAACTCAAACCAGTGACTTACGCTCTTTTATCGGATCTGGAGTAAGCAAACAGCTCCCTCTCCAGCTCCAGCCTCCGTTTCTCCCTGCACACAGAGCGCACAGAGAAGGTGTTACCCACACACACCGCTCCAGCACCTCCGTGGTTTCCTGGGCTAATTATTGCCAAACCGTCAGACTTATGAACCCAGCGAGCTTCCATAACACACATGCTAATGCAGGATAGCAACTTTCATGGGAACTTGACTAACTTTCATTAATACGCAAACGCTAATCAGTTACTGTTTTATACACATCCACGAATCCAAGTAAGCAGGCTAAAGAACTAGCTTCTGGTCATCTCTGTGTACGCGGACTTCGCTAGGAAGCTAACGGGTAAGGTGAGGCTATCAGACGGCAACGGTGACAACTCGAGTCCGCGGTTCTACGGGGCCGTGCTCTTTATAATACGAAAACACCAACTGTCCTCACCTTTCGTGTATGCTCTGCTGAGCTGACGTTATCCTTTCGTAGTAGTGGTCCTCGCTGCGAGCCGAGCTTGCCATTTTCTCCCGCTTTTGGCGCCGTTGCAAAGCCGAGAGGAAGAAGAGGCAGACGAGGAGGAGGGGGAGAGGGGGGCCACTGGTGTTTACGTTGGTTGCCATGGGCACCGCTTCCCAGAAAGCCTTGCGGATAAACACAGAACACGTGGTTGGAGCACGGAGACGTGCACGAATTAAATCCGAGAGTAATAATGAAAGAAAAAAATCGACTAAATGTTGGGTAAGAATTTGTTTTTCAGCGTATTTGGAGTATTTGCCCGAACGTAAATCCCCTTTATTTAGAAAGACGCACAGATGTTCGTAAAGGTGTTTAAATGTCATTTCTGTTTATTTATCAGAGTTTCTAACCCGCCTGGGCTAGATACCAGCCATCAAACGTCTGACTTTTATTTGATAAGCTTCCCTTGCTCTGTCACACACACACTGATGTCTGATTTTCTCTGATGGTTGCTGTGCATCATCCCCAGATGTTGTCTTGCATTATCAAGGTTCATCGCTGACATTTCTCAGAATGTCATGTTTTGACTGAGTCATTTTCTCAAAGCGACAGCACTACATGTCCTTGCTGGGATACTGAAATTGACTGCTCCTTCAAATGCACACCCTAATCAGCCAATTTCCCCAATTCCAGTCCCATCAAACTGCTCTTTATCTGTTGAACTGGGGAGTTTTGTTGTTCTTTTCTAATGCTAATCTACCCCATTCAGTATCTCTCTATGAGGCTATTTGTTGTGAAATAAATCCCCTTGTTTGCCTCCTGCATGTATAATTGATATTGTTGCCAGGCTTTTTGTTTGTGCCGTGGAGAGCTGGAAGGCAGTGCTTTGGAGGTGATGAAGAAAATGAGACTTGCAGCACTGCCGTTCCAGCTGAGCTCAGCCAAGGTTGATGCCTGTGATCAGTCTTTGTTGGATGTCATACATGCATTTGTGATTATTTTCAGCAGATTGTGGCCTCCCAATGCAGACTACATTTGCGACCACTGTTTAATATCTTTGTAATATCCAGATATACTAGGCCCCCGTGTTAGATCGCACACCAAATTGAGGTGAAAACTCTGAACTGAACTTTTTACTTAATTCATCCAGGTGAGTTATGAAATAACAGGTGCACTGAATAAATTCAGATTTCCCGTTTTCTCATCTATAATGCATTCCTTTCCACATATCTCTTAAACAACATTAGCTTTACAGTGAATTATCCACAGTATACTTATTTCCTAGTTAGGAAAAAGTATATAGTCCAAAATGCTGCAACAATAAAACCATTATTTTGATAAAGTAGTAATAGTTTTAACAAGTGCTTATCAATGTAAACAAAAAGGTGCCATTTTTCAAATCTTACTGCATGAAGGGTCCGAGAAAATATAGTTTACTTTTACTCTTTGTAGTTTTATACAGTGTCTCCACACTGGCTTTCTCTGTTGCTCCTGTGCAAACATACAATCTGTATGGCCATTGATATGCCCTAACAGAGGTCACAATTTGCATGAGAATTAACAGCAAGTAAATTAAATTGATATTCAGTGCACATCTCCGTCGAATCCTTCAGACCTTTGTTCCCCCTGCCTGGCAGAGCCCATGTTCAGCCCCCCCAGCTAGTCAGAAACATCTGTGCAGTTAATAATTTGATAAACAGCTTACACAAATGCTAAATTATCTTCTCCATTCCCTCCCCTTTTTCCTTTCCTTGTGCAAGACAGTTGGCTCACCTCTCTGTGGTGTTGGGTTTATCTGTCTTTTGTGGCTGTTCTTCCACAGCTCTGGTTTTAATGGCTCTCCCTTCACTCCTTTCACTATCACTTAGATACTGAAGCAGTGTTTGGGGTTAATGCAAATCCTCAACTCTCATCTGCGGCAAAAAAAAATCCACTGAAGTTTCCTATTGTGGCAAGTTTAAAATGAACTTTGTCGGAACATTTGTTATTCATTCACAGCTCTGTGCGGGTAGCATTTAAAAATATTCAGAAAGAACTGTGACATTGATCAGCACATTTGAACATGTGCAGTGCCTCCGTTCTGCAAAAGCCCACAACTCAGCTGACTCCCTGTGAAATTACAAATTAAGGTCTGACATATTTTTTTCCAGAGAGCATTCTGCACCAGAGTGCAAAAGCTTTCAAGTTCCACGTGTTAATTCAATGGTCACTTGTTTCTATAATTGGCTGATACCAGCAGTGAAAGAGATTTGACCGGGTTTTTATAATCATTTCAAAAAGCAGGCTCTTGTGGTTGGCACAGGTATAGTTTTATTTTCACAAAGGTATATTAAAAAGATTAAACGTGTCCGGAGGATGATATTAGTAGTATCTGTTCAAAATCAGGCCTGATTAAATTTGAAAAGGATACAAAATATCACAGACAGATCTTTATGTGTTGTGCGTGTGCCCGCGTGCAGTTTATTTGTGTGTCGATATTTTGCAAGTACGTTTTTGTCTATGAGAGGACAGCAATTAGTTAAGTGCTATCAAGTGGATGAAAAGCTGCAACAAATCCCTTTTATAATTTCATGGAAAAGAAAGCTGACAAAATGGAATGGGATGGAGGGGAACTAGTTTCCAATGCTTACCTTTTCGGTTGCAACTTGAGAAGAAATTGAACGCTAAGAGGGTGCGCTAAGCCGCGTTAATACATTGTGCAACTTTTTTCACATGCTGAGTTCTTGCTTTAAACTTTTTCTTTTTTCGGCTCTGTGGATATTGTCTGTTCTGTTACTGAGTTTTAGCGAGGAGATCAGATTCACCACGTTGCTCCACTTGGTGGTTATCTGAATAAACATCAGGGCAGTCTCGAGTGCTGTCTGAGAGCACAATGCTTCATTGTGGTTTTGAACAAAGACTCCAAGCTCTAATGACAGTGGCTTGTTGTTGTTAGCACATGTAGGCCTTGTGATGTTGTATTTTGCAGAGTGGATTCATTCTCCGTGTTGTTTATACTTTTATTCTTTTTCTTGGGCGTCCTCTACCAGTGTCATCCAGACTCTTGTCTGTCATTTTCACATGTTTGCAGTCACTGGGGGCGACAGAGACAGGAAGGAGAGGATCATCTCACAGTTTGACAAGAGTCTTTGAGTCTAGAGTTTGACCGACAGCTGATAGGAGCAGCGGTGTGGCACACGGCGGCAAGCGGGGGCAGTGTGTGTGTGGTTATCAGATGAAGAGATTCATGTGGGCTGGGCTGTTTAGGTCAGATGGCTGACAGTCAGGACTTGATGTTTGCTATTATGTCGTTGTGCTGGTTGGTAATGCTGATGCCTTGCCTTGTTACAACAGTGCCCTCTTTTGCCCCATGTTTGCTAGCTTAGGTTTGGTGCTAGTGAACCAGCTGCTGAGTGGTGAATAAAACCAGATAGCTTGTCTTGTCTCACTGTTTGTGTCATGCTTACTGAGGTTTTGAATTGATTACACTGATTATAGGTATTCCCCTGCAAGGCTCAGAAAAGGTTCTGAAACCTCTTCAAACACCTCGTTTGTACTTCAACATTTATGTTATTAGTTCTGTTTGGCATAGTTTCTGTTATTCAGTTTATATTCCAAAACAGGGTTTATTATCTTTAAAGCATTTGGAAGATCATTTTTCATGTTATGCAGCTTAAGTGCAGAAACACTGATCTTTCTTAAAAATGTTCTGCTTGAAAGGATGTTGCCACTGTTTCACAAGAAGCAGTTGTTTTTTAATATGATCGGTAACTTTTTCATTGAAGGAACAGTAGACCTGAGAAGAGACAGTTGAGTAAATGAGCGCCTCTTCCCTATACCCGAAGAGCCAATCCAGTCCTGGATGGCCCATTTGACCCAATCCTCCTGGAGAGGCCCACGGGGCACACGTCACATCCACATTAAGGCATTAGAAAATGCTTTATTTGTTTGCGTGAGGGACATCCTCTCCTGTCAGTTCTGTAGGTCACACTCAGTTGACACTGCAATTGGAAGTCATTGCGCTTGTGTGGGTTTAGTCTTCCAGGTCAAATTATCCTTCAATTCAACCTGAAATTGGGAATGGCAGCAGCAAGGATCAGCCCAGGGCCCAGGCCCTCTCCTCAGTATTAAGCCATCACAGTGTTGTAAGGTGAGCTCCTGTAATGAACCCTGTCACTGCTACCACTGCACCAATATCCCCACTACACAGCATGCATATTGATTGCAAATTGTGAGTGCGAGCACACGGCTGCGGTGCTGTGTGTATGTAATGTATGTGTGCACGCTCACGTAAGCGCACCTTGTTCTGGGAAGAAACAAGGGAATCGCCTTTCTCTGATTAGAAAGCTCATGCATAGGAAAGCACGACAGAGACACTGCTCCCCATCTGCCCGTGGTGCAGGTGAAAACAATTTACACATCGCCAGGCTAATGGATACATTCATAGGGAGCACAGACAGAGGGAAAGAGGGATGGAGGGGGAGAGAATAGCAGAGAGTGGAAAAAGAGAGGGGTTGTAATGGGCCCAGGCCAATGCAGGCCAGTGGCCCTGCTCATGCGGCCAAGCCAGACAGCAGCGTATCAGATAACACATAATCACCAGGGTCAGAGACTAATGAATGCGGTCATGGCCCACCAGAGCAGGCTTTTGCCCGCACTAAAGACACTTGTAAACAATCGGCTGGGTGAAACATGGCAATAATATGTTGATTCAGCAGGTAATGAGGTTCTCCCTGAATCAATACCCCCAGCTAACCCCTCTCCCAGGTGGGCCAGTGAAGAGCAGTCAGCCAGGTTGGCGAGCGCAGACCTCTGCGATGACCTTTCCGTGGCAGTAAGGACACGAGGCAGTCTGAAGAGGACTATTCTCGTATTGCACAAGGCGCTGAGTGTCAGAACTTTCATTCGCAGCAAGCAAATGAACAGACAGGCGCTGCATGCTAATGAGCGGCAGGCTATTTTCCACCTTTTTTATCTGCACATTATGCTCTTGACTTTGGAGAAGGTGGGAATTAGGTTGGACCTCAGTGTCAGGCTGCCTGATGGCTCTGCTCAGGAAAAACTGGTAATTGAAGCCGATGGCTGCCGCGGAGGAGGTCTGAATTTGGAAATAAACAGTTTCAAGCACTGCACGTCATTTCTAGAGAGATGACAGGGGGAATGGAAATGAGCTGTCTGGATCTAATGTGCTTTCGC